TCCTGGCCAAGTTAAATTATGATGAAACAGTTTTATTTTTTATTTTTTTTACTTAAAATACTGTTTATTTGTGATTTAGCATTAATTAGCATGACATCTAAAAGCAATATCAGATAACATTTATACATTTTTCCACAGAACACAGAAGTTCATTGGCTCATTCATTATGTCAAAGCAAGTAAATAGAGGCATTAGCAAAAGGTGCAATAGTTTACGGTTGCTTTAGAAAATATTTATGCACATTGCATTCATTGTTACAGAAAGGCATAGTTCACAGGTTACTGTTTCTACATACACTGTAATACAACATAAACAGTGCAAAACATAAGATATCCTCAAATACACAGTTAAGCACCTGAAAGTTTCCACTAGGAGATTAGAACCCTGATTCCAGCAGTCAGTGAGTTGGAGAGTGATGTTTCCAGGCTCCATTTCAACTCTGCAGCTCACACAGAGACGGACAGAACCAGTCCAGACACCCCGTGCTCAGGGGAATTTCTTGCCTGCTACCTCACCCTTCGGAATTCTTGGGATTATTTTTACCATTGACCATTCGAGATCTTTGAGTTTTACATTGATTTGTGACATCACTTAGGAAAAAGGGAAAACCTATATTAGGTCTAGGTTTAAATTTGTATTTACATTAGAAAGTTAACGGAAAAGTTTTAAAAAAGTGTAAAAATCAAGAAGTGGTAATTTTGTTAGGGATTAGACCTACTGATTTCTTCTAGTGCTGCTCTCTAAAGATATACAACTTTTAAAACTCAAAATATCAACCAAGGTATTGACTTGGCAAAAGAGGATTTTAGAAACTTGGGACATGTTTTCAATAAATCACACTAAATATTCACTCTATCGTGAACAGAAGTTATTATCAAACAGAATTCTTTTCACATCTCATATTTTTTTCACTTAGTTTTTCACTTTCTCTTTTACTCTTTTCCTTCTCATTTGGTTACCTTATGACATTTTCTTCCTTCACTAGAAACTAAGAGAAAAATACATCATAGAATTCAAATATGAATCTAGACAGACCTTTGATATGCTCTAAACCCTTTTGATTCCAAGTTCCTGCATTCTTGACTCATATTTAAGTCTACTCAGTGCCAAGCAGTCTCAGATGTGTGCTACTGTTAAATGATTGGCTAATATGCATGTAACTTTTATACTGAATAGTACACAAATGTCTCAAATACAAAAATTGTTTGCCAGAGTTAAACTAAATAACCCATGTTATGTGTACAAAATCCCCTTTGTTGAAAAATAAAGGGCTTTCTAACCTAATAAAAAAGTTTTCAAAAATTATAGTTTATTAAAATGATCTTTTTTTGGCAAATGAAGTTACTTCAGGTGAGAAAATTTATGCTATGAGTAAAACTCCAAGCAAATCTTTTCTTAAAACTTAAAAAAAATTATGTGCCAGTGTATACTAATGCTGTAGATTTTTATCTTAGAAGCTTTTAAAGCATCTGATTAATGCCCATTGAAACAATGGGGACCCAAAAAGGTACTGTCAATAATCATAATAAAAAATCATAATCTGATTATTAATTGAAGCATGTGTGGAGATGAAACAGTTTTAAAACAGGTTAGTAGGACATTTATAATAATTAATACATTGTATATTGTTGTCTTTGTAGTAGTTATTCAGAGGACAAAATGCAGACATGATATCTTGTCTAAACCATATTGCTACAAACTTTTATTCTCAGTGAACTAAGAGAAAATATCTGTATACCTATCCTAACTCATATATATGTACATATATATATAAATTTTTCCTTCCCCTTTTTATGTTATTTATAATTGTTAGCTATGGTTGGTTTCAGTGAGGTAATATTCAATGAACAGGACATTCTTATATTAGTATATACTAGGTTTGAAAAGAAACTAAAAGAAACTCAGTGAAATACAATTAAGGAGACCTGAATATTTCTACACAAATAGAAATATTCTTTTTTTTTTTTTGGTGGAACTGGGGATTGAATTCAAGCCTTTGCACTCGCCTGGCAAGAGCTTATTCTACTGAGCTATCTCCCCAGCCCCACAAATAGAAATATTCTACATTCTCTTCTGGTAGGAGGAATTCCAGCCTGCAGTTATCAGGTTTTTGCCTGGAAAAAAAATAATCTTCAACCTTAAGGTAATATCCTAGATTACTCTATAAATAAAAGACACTAGGTCAGAAGTAGACCACCAAAAGGGACAGCAGACAGACTTGAGACATATACTGCAGGGTGAAGGGTTCTAGAAACTTCTACCCTTCATTTTCTTTTCAATCAATCTATTTATTTATTTATTTATTTATTTATTTATTTATTTATTTATTTATTTATTCTGTGCAGCTTAGACTCATAGGGATCCTCCTGTCTCAGCGTCTCAGCCTCCCCAGCACTGAGATTACAGGTATGCACCATCACACCTGGTTTTGGTGGCCGGCACAGCATGTGGTACTAGAGATCAAACCGGGTCCTTGTGCTTGCCAGGCAGGCACATAAACCACTGAGCTATATCCCCAGTTCTACCCTTCATTGAAGGTAATTGAAGGCCCATATGTATGCCCAAAGATGCTGTTTGTTGACCGCTTGACCTGGGAAATCCACATGCAGAACCCCATTCCTTGGTCTGACCAGGAACAAGTGAAAGTTCCTACCTTTCAGAAAGGGCTGTAGCCTGTGAATTTCACTGTTATTTTCTGTGTGTAAGCTGTTTTAGGTCAATGGCTTAAATATACTTAGTGCTTAACCCTCAATCACATATCTACCTTTGTG